TAATGATATAAGAATTTATTGAGATATTTTCACATTCTTTTTTCATACTAAGTCTTCGAAAACCAGTGTGTATTTTACACCCATAGCACAGCTCAATTTGGACTAGCCACATTCCAAGGGCTCACTAGCCACACCCAGCTGGTGGCTGCCATGTTGGACAGCACAGGCTGCGAGGTTAACAGCAAGGTTTCTGGAGATGGGACATCTGGATCAGACACCTGGTTCTGTCGCCTACCAACTGTATGACCTTTAGCAAAGTTACTTAACCTCTCTTTGTATTAGTTTCCTCATCCGTAAAATGGTGATAATAACATTAGCTACTTTATGAGGTCGCAGGGATATTTCAAAAAGTTAATAAATCTAAGGCAGCACCTGGTACCCATAGGTTTTAGGAGAATGCTGGCTGTTACTCTTCTTATGCGAAAACTTGGCCCTTGAGATCAACTTGTCTAACTCCTTGTTCTGTAGACGAGGAAACTGAGGCCCAGAGTTTGGGAAGCGCTAGTTTCAACAGCAAAGGATCTAACCACCTTTCCTCTAGATGGACTTCCTGTCTCCCAGCTGGCTCTGAAAGTAGATCTGCCAATTATTCAGGAAACCAGCAGCTCCAGGGCCCCACCCGGGTTCTGCAATCCCTTCTTGATTACAAAACAGGGCCACTGTTTGAAAGTTTCAGATGGAGGCTGGGTCTCCCTTCTCCTTCTCTATCTGGACCCATCTGTTGGGCTGGCTGACTCCACCACTGAGTCCAGTGCTTACTCAGCAATTATAGGGCTGCTTTCTATTGTTTTGGCTTTTAATAGCCCTGCTTGTTTATTAACTCATCTCCTATCTTTCTCAAAGACACACAGCATCAGCACTTTTTTTTTTTTGAGGAAGATTAGCCCAGAGCTAACTACTGCCAGTCCTCCTCTTTTTGCTGAGGAAGCCTGGCCCTGAGCTAACATCCGTGCCCATCGTCCTCTACTTCATATGTAGGACACCTGGCACAGCATGGCACGTCAAGCAGTGCCATGTCCGTACCCCAGATCTGAACTGGCGAACCCTGGGCCGCCGAAGCGGAACATGCGCACTTAACCGCCGTGTCACCGGGCCAGCCCAGCACTTTTTTTTAAACCTTCTTTTAAATCATCTGCAGTCCCCATTCATCCATCAAGCAGGTAGGTAGTGAGCTCCCTGTGTATGTCTCAAAAACAGAGAATGAAGACCTACTGGGTGCCCCCTTGTCTGGGATGCAGTGGAGCACCTTCTCAGGCTGGGGGCAAAGTTAGCTTATGATTCCTCTACAGCGTCTGTCTCCACCCTTGCCTTCCCGAAACCCAGTGCAAATCATCTATTCTTCTCTGACTAGCTCACTCAGCATAACTCATACCTCTCGACTCTTGCTAGCAACTGGACTCAGACCAGTTTTGTGGGCTCAAACTTGTTAGCACATGCTGACCTGAAGCTCTGCTTATTCTAAATGCCAAATAGTGTTTTATTGACATTCATTTATTTAATAGATATTTATTGAACATCTACTATGCAGTAAGCCCTGTGCAAAGTGCTGGGAATAAAACCTTTGCAGACCTTATGGTTTAGTGTAGAAAATAGACAAAAAAGAAATGACAATAAAGTACAACAAAGGGCTGATGTAGAAAGTGTCAAATGCTCTAGGGACTATAATAAAGCAAGAGGACCTGAACTCTTTCCTTAAGAAGTAGCATTCAAGTTGAGACTTGAAAAATGGTAGGAGAGAACCAGTTGAAGAGAGAGAATGTGGAAGGTTCCAGGCAGAGAGAACAGCATAGACAAAACCTGGAGGGGAGAGAGAATGGCCTGTTGAAGGAACTGAAAAGAAGTCCAGTACAGCTCGGGTAGAGAGAAGGGGAGGAGCATGGCAAAAGATGAAGAAGTGGCTAGATTTTTGAGGACATTGTCCGAAGCGTTAAGGAATTTGGACTTTGACCTGAAGGCAAGAGAAAACAACCTGAGAGAATCTTTCAAAACATAGGATTCCTGGGAACAAATCAACCAAATGTACTGAAAAGGCTGATGGTGGGAAGCCTGGGAAGTACTGTTTTCATTCTCGTCTCTATGGTCTTTTACCAAGTCTCGGGGCTCCTTTGAAAGTAGTCCGTAGCACGAAGGCCCTCGTGCATGCCCGGCCATGCTCCCCCTCCTCCCACCCCACTGTCCAGGAAATCAGTGCTCCTGAGTTTGGTGCCACATAGACCTTCCTTAAACCCTTTGGAACTGTAGAGACACAGAGACCACCACCGAGAGATTGTTGAGGCCCTTGTTTAACAGATGGACCAGCTGAGGCCCAGAGAAGGAAAGTAATTTGTCTGTGGCCCCACAGCAAGCCTCAGGCCTCTGACTCCTTCTTGTCTCCCTCAAAGAAACTGAACACTGGGGCTGGGGCTAGGGTGGGGCAGGTCAGGCACATAGGGTGCAAAATTTAAGGAGGCACTGACTCAGGTGCCAGCTCTGCACTTGCACCGCCCGATGGGCCCACTCGCCTCATCCTAGTCCTGGCTCTGTTGGATACAGCTTATGGGCAGGGACTGGAACTTCCAGAAAACTCTTTGACATCTCTCATAGTGTTAGTATTTTGAGGGTGACTGGATGCCTATGGATGCTAATGAACAATGGATTTCTGACAAACTAATAGGTATGCAAATGTTTGTATCTTTGGGTAAATACGATCTTCAAAAGACAGCAGAACAAAGCGAAGTGGGCCTGAGACCACAATCTAGAGACTTGGATTCTGGGTCCCTCTCTGCCACCGATCTGTCATGAGAACTTGGGTAAATTGTTCTCTATCTCCAGGCTTCAGTGAAATGAGCTGGTTGAATAAATGACATTTATTGGGCACATACTGTGTGTCAGCCACTGGTGACATGCTTCTGAGCTTTAATTCATTTAAAGACTTCCTGGCCTTCAAGGTTCCCTTCACTCTAACAGCCTGGGCTTTGAGGTAAGGAAGGCTTCACAGAGAGTGTGGAACTTGAGACAGGCTTTTCAGATTCCCACGGGGACAATAACATCTCAAATTATAGGAAAGACATAGCACCTCAAGGCTCTTCTTCACCAGAGGAGACTTCCAGAGGGCACCTATTCCTGCGACTTCCACCACCAAGATTGTGGCCACACCAGCTGCCTCAGAAGCGCCTTTGGAAGGTGGCTGAAGGCAGATTCTCAGCCTCCTCTCTAAGGATTCTAATGCAGTGATTCTGAAGTGGGGCCTGGGAATCTGCATTGAAAGCTTCCTAGGGGCCTCTGGTAGTCAGACAGATTTGGGAAACACTGATCCCAACACATTCCCCCATCTGTGGACAGGATCATGCCTAGACAGCCCAGACTAGAGCTAGCTGATCTGATCGTAAGTATCTCCAAGCAGAGAAACGAATTCATGGATTGATTAATGTGGTAAATATTAAGCACTTGTGTTCTAGGCCCTATGCCAGGTGGTGATTAGGGTCCCTATTCTCAAGGGACTCCTAGTCTAGGTCTGTCACTTACTTTAGAGGCAAATCACGTAGCCAGAACCAGAAAGGCCTTAGACATCATCAACCAATCCCATTATTACACATTTGGGGAAACTGAGGCCCAGAAAGGGAAAGGAACATGCTCAACACTACACAGGGAGCAAATGCATTTTCTATTCCCAAAACAGCTGAAGTATCCCAATGTTCTTCCCAGGAAGGGGCTGCCTTCAAAATCCTAGGATACCCACCCTTTGCTTCTTAAGCCCTAAACCTATATTGAGTCAACGTTCCTGGAAGTCTAACTTCAGATCTTGCTAGCATTTTAAATACTCAACATCCCTTCAACCAGAATGGAGGCAGGAGGGAAGAAGGAACACCAGGAGGAACGTAAATTGATGCAACCACTATGGAAAACAGTATGGAGAGTCGTCAAAAGATTAAAATCAGAACCACCAAATGATCCAGCAATTCCACTTCTGGGTATTTATCCTGGGGAAAACATAAACACTAATTCAAAAAGACAGATACACCTCTGTATTCATTGCAGCATTATTTACACAGCCAAGATCTGGAAGCAACCTAAGTGTCCACTGATAGACGAATGAATAAAGAAGATGTGATATACATATATATACAATGGAATATTATTCTACTATTTAAAGAGAACGAAATTTTGTCATTTGCGACAACATGGATGGACCTAGAGGGTATTATGCTAAGTGAAATAAGTCAGACAGAGAAAGACAATTACCATACAACTTCCCTTATATGTGGAATGTAAAAAAACAAAACAAACGAGTAAATAAAACATAAACAGACTCACAGATACAGAAAACAAACTGGTGGTTGCCAGAAGGGGGAGGGGTTGGAGGATGGCAAAATAGATGAGGGGGACTAAGAGGGACAAACTTCTCGTTAAAAACTAAGTTCCGGGGATGTAAGCTACAGCATAGAAAGAATATAGTCAATAATATTGTAATATCTTTGCTTGGTGACGGATGGTAACTAGACTTATCCTGGTGATCATTTCATAATGTATATAAACTTCGAATCACTATATTAGCCCTGAAACTAATATGATATTGTATGTCAATTATACTTTAATAAAAATAAATAAAGTAAATAAACACAATCATAAAAATAAGTAAAGCAAGCAAGCCTAGGGGTAAGAAATGCTCCCCGGGACGTAGGCAGTTCTTCGGGGCTGCTTAACGCCCTTTCCCTGCTGTGCTGGAGGACATTGCGCCTGCCTCTTCCCGCACTTTCGAGCCCAAAGATGAGGGGGCCGCTTTGAGGGTTCACAAGGACCTGGCTCCCATCCCTCGGCCCAGAGACTTGCTTATGTCACTGTCGCCCGGAGCCTGGGGAGGGGGAGAAGCGGAGGGTAAGTCGTGCCCGCCCCTGAAATGTCAGCCGCCCTGCGATTGGCTACAAGGACTCCGCCCAGCCGCGGATTGGTCATCGCTGAGGGCTTGAAAGGTGGCTGAGAGCGTCGCACACCTCAGACGGACCGTGGTTCGGATCGGACAGCTTGTCGGGCGAGCCCGAGACGCGCCCCCAGCCCACCATGGCCCGGCTGCTCCGGGCATCCTGCCTTCTCTCCCTGCTCCTGGCCGGCTTCGTGCCGCCGAGCCGGGGACAGGAGAAGTCGAAGGTGAGTGAGCCTCCGGGTGGGGGCCGGGGGAATGAACATAGCCCCCAGGAGTCCATCTCTCGATGGCGAGGCACCCCTCTTCCCGGGCTCCCCTCCAGAAGGGCAACACCTAGGGGCGGGGACGCCCTTAACTCGGGTTGCCTCCCTCTCTGCTGCCGGGACCCCCGCCCCTGGACCGTCGGTCTCTTAGCAGTTGCATCTGTGGGAGCCCTGGCTGCCCTGGGTGGGCAGAATGAACAGGGGAGGAAGGTCCTTCTCCCTGAGTTCACGCTTTCCCCCCAGTGGCTACCTCAGGGTCGCCTTGCTACATCCATGCCACGTCTGTCCCTGAGCTACTCCCCTCCTGTAGCGCCTGAAGCGCGTGGGGTCGAGGAAAAAGGCCTAGAGATTTGGCGCCTGGTTGGCTGCAGAGGTTCCCAGGGAGACTGGCAGGCAAGGAGAATGCGCAGAGTGGTCCCGGTCTTGAAGAATTGCCGCGGGGCCTCTTCTAGCGCAAGAATGATGCAGGTGGAAATGCTCCCTTGGATTCTAGGGCATTGGTGGAAGAGGCAGAGGTCTGTGAGAGAAAGAGCTTTGGGTTGGCAGTGCAGAACACCCAGCACCCTGACTAGATCCCTAATCCTTTCTGGGCCTGAGTTTCTCCATCTGCAGGCGGTGGGGGTGGGGCAGGGACATAATGAAGCTGACGATTTCAGAGGGGATGCTTGAGAAGGTGCAACATGTATACGCTGTTCTCTGAAGGGTTTTCTGTTCTGGGGCTGCCTCACTACCCCCTACCCACTGCCCATATTGGCTTGAGCAAACCTGGTAGTTGGAGAAAACTGGGGACTGCCAGCTTAGAAGGAGAAGCAGAATTCTCCTGAGCCTCAGTCTATCCTCAGCAGACTGTGTGACCCTTGGCTAGGGTGGGGATGCTGAGGCCAGGAGGAGGGGTGACCCAGCATGCTTATCTCCTTGGACCCTATATGCCAAGGTGGGCCCCGTAGACCTCTCCTCTTTCCCAGAGTGGGGAGGCAGAAGGCAGGCATAGGGATAGACCCAAAGAGAGATTTCTGCTCCAGCCTCCCAACACACATGACACACACGCACGCACACACACAGACCATGCTTGTGTAAGCTCAAGAAGAAGGTTTGAGCTTTTGTGTTTCTAAAATCCTCTGGGTCTTTATTCTAAGATCTTTTGACTCAATGATTCTGTTTCCAAAATCCTGTCTACTGCTCAGGAAACCCATTCCAAGTGCTGAATCCCTTCTGTCTGTTTCAATCTTCCATCCTGTTTTCAGCCTAAATCCCATTCAGTCTGCCCTCCTTGGAGTCAGCCTAGAGACTGAATGGCTATGAAGCCACTTCCTCCAAGTCTCCTCCTTTGCATCCAGCTTTGTATATAATTTCCAACTCGGAAGGCATTTTCCAGGGTAGGGATGAGGCTGAGTTTCAAGATTGGGATACAGGGTAGAGGTGGGGGTAGACCATGGACAGGCCAGTACCATAGAGTCAGTCCTATATCCCCAGTTTGGGGACAGCCAGAGAAAGCAAGATTAGGCACTGCCTCAAAAAGGCTGGAGGTAAGAACATGGACCCCATGAATAACTCATCATAGCTGTATGTTCTCTGTAGAACTCAAGTGGGATGGATAGATTCAGAGAGAACAGGATGGGTCTGGTCTCGAAGAGTCCTTAGGGTGAGGTGCAATCATATCAGATGCAACCAGCTAGGACTTGTTGGCTAATGACAGTCTGGGCATGTGCATCTCTCCTCCCAGGTCCTTAGAGAGTTGAGATGTCATAGCCCTGGGTTCTAGGACTCAACCACTTACCTTACTTCCAACTCCTGGGCCAAGGGATGGGGTAGGGGGCATGTGGAGAATGGGATGGACAAAAGGTGACAGCCCCAGAGGGATGTTTGCCTCCTCCCAATTCAAGGGAGGGGCTAGGGGACAAAGGGAATCCTTTCCTTGCTGTGTCACCTCTCCAGTCCAGCTTACAGCTGCTGAGGCTCCCTGTCCTTGCTGTACGAAAGGATTTTGCAGAAGCGGGAGAGAGTAACAACTGCTGACGTGCACGGGATCCTAGTAACCGCTGGTTTCTAGGTGACTAAACCAGGCAGAGAGAATCATGGAACCACAGGCTGACAGTCAGAGCTGAAGGGCCCTTAAGACAGCACTGAATCCGATTCCATCTCACAATGGAAGAGCTGGAACCCCACAGAAGGGAAAGGAGTGGTCACACAGTCAGAGGCAGGGCCAGGCCCAGAACTCAGGTCTCCTGCCCCAAGTCCGGTTCTCCTTGCGCACCCTCGCACTGATGGGAATGGTAAGATGGGAGAGGAGAAAGACACAGACCAGCCGCCCAAGCCCATGGGGCCCTGGCTGAGGCCCCTCTCTAACTCTCAAGCCGTCAGAACTCTCCTGTCTTGTCCAACTGTGGGAGGACTGAGGCACGCTCGCTGCCTCTCCGCCCCACCTCCTCTGGCCTCACTATGTAAGGTGCCGGGCTCTGGAACTCCACGGGCCCAGAAGAGGGAAGGGGGCTCACGTAAGGACTGGGCTGCAGTGCTCAGTGGTGAGTGCAGGCTATGGCTTCCCCCACCAGAAGCCACCCTCTGACCTCCATCCGTCTGAACCCACAGCACAGGCCTCACTGGCCCCAGCAGAAAGTGTAGAGGCTTTGTCACTGGTCCCTCCTCGTGGAGACACCCTGCCCGGTCTGCCTCATTTTCTTCATACTAGCTGGGGAACGTTGGGGCCCATTTCCCTAGATGCAGGCAGAATAATCACCAGCCCTCGATGTGGGGATTTCTTTCCGAAAGGCTTTCAAGGCTGTTTGATGTGCCAATAGATTCTCACAGCCATTTTGGCAGGCAAGTGGTATTCTCCCTGCCTGTCAGCAGGCAGAGGCTCAGAGAGCGAAAGTGACTTGCCCAGGGCCACACAGCCAGCAAAAACTAAAACTTAATGAGAGATTCCTCTTGCCCTACTCCAGCCCTGAAACTGTGCCCAGAAGCTGATCTTCCTCTTGTTTACAAGCTTCCATTATGAGGCCAATTTCCTGGCTTTTCCCCTCTCCCTTTCCCAGAGTTCATTTTTGGATCAGGCTGGAGTGGAGGCGGCGGGGGGGGCGGGCAGAGAGGCCTCACCTTCCAGCTGCTAGACCTCTGTGGCCAGCTGGGGTGTGTTTGTCGTGACCTGGTTGTTGGTATTTTGATGTGGAACTGACCACAGCTGCGGCCGAGGAGGCCCAGGGGCTGGAGGAATGTTGATCTTAGGTCCCAGGCCTGCTTCCAGCACCCACCAAAAGTCACAAGGCATGGAATATTAGACTCATGTAAAGCAAGGAATTTGCCCCAAAGCCAAGAAGAGAGCTTGAAGCTGTCAGGGACTGGCTTGGTGGAGGGAGCCTAGCTTCACCTGGCTCAGCAGGCCTGCAGTGGTATCTTCAAGACAGAGGCCATTTTTCTACACCCTCCTGGGGCCACACCGTGCTAGCCCAGATGGCTCCTTTCACCCACTTGGGCCCAGGTACCTCACCTCAACAGCCAGTCTTCCAGGACTGATGGGAGGAGAGGGCATGAACTTGCTTCTCTAACCCTAACCACCTGTCTCTGTCTCCGGATCTTTAATATTCGTTTGCACTCGATTTGTTTATTGTCTTTCCACCTCTGGTAGGATGCCAGGGCCAGAAAGGACCTCAGCAATCACCTGATGCCATGGTTGCCAGCTTTTTCCTCTCCCCTCACAACCGGTCCGCCCGCTGATTGTGTGATTGATACAATGGCACCCTTTCAAGAGTAGACCCAGATTTTTGTAGTCTGTGCCAAAAACTGTAGCAATGAGATAGGAGTAGAGTGGAGACAAATGCAGTATCCCGCTTGCTGGCAGGAGCCCCATTGCCTCCTCTCCCACTGAACGTGACACTGTTGAGCCATCAAGGTTCAGAACAGCTGATCCAGTTCAAGGTTCTGAGCTCATAAATGAAGAAACTGAGGCCCTGAGAAGAGAAAGGGCTGGTCCAAGACCACACAGGGAGTTCACGGCAGAGCTGGACACGGAATCCTGGCCCCCTGTCCTACAGTCCATTGTACGCCGTCCCTACTTGTTCTGGAGGTTGACTGGAGCAGCAGTAGGGCAAAGAGGAAGGTGTAACAGTCATCGAAGCCACGGCTCCCTTACAGAGAACATCTAATGTGTGCCAGGCACTGTTGCTTTACCCTTCCCATCGCATGCAGTCCTCGCAGAGGCCTTTCCTCAGCCCGGGCTCCTATCCCCCTTCCCTGTGTTATGACAACAGTCTCAGCTTCCAGCCCTCCAGATCGAGAACTTCAGAACCACCACTCTCCACTCTGCTGCTGCCTCCTCTCGGTTCAGGTCTTCCTTCACAACGGTCGAGTTCAGGACCTTGTCATCACTTGCCTGCCTTATGGCAACAGCCACCCAACCAGTCTCCACCAGCCCATGCAATGATGCAACCACCAGCATCAGGGTAGTCCCCCTCGGAGCCTGGTAAATGTTTATAAATTGACATGTAACGCAGAAGTAGTGATCACAGTAAGTAATTCTCCAGGGTCACATGGTGCTCACCAGCTTAGTAAGTGTTTTCAGCATCATTATCTTGTACAAGGAATTAGGAGCATTCTCTAGTCCAGTTCCAATTCTTAGAGTGGTCTCGGGCAAGTCAAGACCACTTGGGTAAGTCAGTTCCACCTCTCCCTGTTGAGATCTTTCATTATCTTGAAAAGGGTGATGTCCAAGTTTCCTTCCAGCTCTAATGGCTCCCTTGTGCTGATCTTCTTCTGTTCCAGACGGACTGCCATGCTGGCGTGAGTGGCACCATCTATGAGTATGGAGCCCTTACCATCGATGGGGAAGAGTACATCCCTTTTAAGCAGTATGCAGGCAAATACATCCTCTTTGTCAACGTGGCCAGCTACTGAGGCTTGACAGGCCAGTACGTTGGTAAGTGCCCACTCCCCCGCCCCCTGCTTTATTTGGGGCTGTTTCTGCCAGTTGGGCACATTTTAATCACAAGAGCTTTTTTGGTGCAAGGGGGAACGGGTGACAATGATCATGAGATTCCAAGCCCTGTATCCCAATTCTACTGTGTTCCATGGGTTTATGAAGATAATTATATAAGCCTGAGGTCTGATCATCTTTGGACATGTTCTAGAAGATTCCCAGTTGCCCTTCTTCATCCCTGGGCACCTCAACTGCCCTCAAAGCAGAAAGATGGAGGAGATTGGGTTTGTGCTTGGTTGTGTTTGTGTCCTGTCCTCTCATTGGAGTAAGAAATGGTAGCTTTAGCTTGCTGAGAATTTCTCATCTGCCCTCAGCCCCATCTGCCTTAGTGTTTCTCTTGGCTCTCATCTGGAAAGCAGGCAATGGGCCTGAGGCCCCAGAGTGTGTGTTAGTGGCAGAACTGAGCTTTTCACTCAGGTTTCGTGATCGCTAGTATCCTCACTCCTTTCTCCCTAGCTGGGGCAGAGTAAAGAGCCTGAGGGAACAAGCAGGTCAAAGGCCTCTGACAGTATCCACAGGAAAATGTTTTGGGACTGAGCACAGTCCGCTGGTGGGCACTGTGGGGAGCCGAGGGCAATCTGGCCCTGAACGTTCCACCTGGCAACTACAGGCAAATTCCTGGAAGTGGAATGACAATATGCTGGATGGCCCACTGGGCAGTGAGGGCTCTCTCTGGCCCCTGGAATAGAGCAGAGTGCGTCTGTGCGAGATGGGCTGGGTGGAGGCACTGCACAAGAGGCCACGAGGTGCTGAGGGAACTGGGGAGCTGGGCCAGGGCCTCCATGGATTCCTGAATCCCTAGAGTATGGGAAGGTTGTGAGGGCCCCGTCCCGCCCCATTGCCACACTCACTGGGGGATCTTGGGCAGGTGCCTCCCCTGCTGGGCCTCAGTGATTTCAGCTGCACAGCAGGTGAGCAGGTAGAGTGGGACGGCTGTGACAGGGCTCCTCGCCAGGCTACCCCTGTTTCTGCTCTCTCCCTGGCCCAGAACTGAATGCACTACAGGAAGAGTTTGCACCATTTGGTCTGGTCATTCTGGGCTTCCCCAGCAACCAATTCGGAAAACAGGAACCAGGAGAGAACTCGGAGATCCCACTCACCCTCAAGTGAGTGCTCACTCAGCGTCCTGAGAAACCTCCTCTGGCACAGCCACCCTGTGTCCCAGCCCAGGCTCCGGCTTCTCCTGCACTGGCCCCGGCTCGGGATGGACATTCCTCAGCCACCAAGAACTACTCTCCCCTTCCAGGACCCCCAATTAGTGGAATGAGTGGAGGAGGGGACAGGAAAGGGAGAGGGACAAGGATAGCTGGCTGTGAGTGCACGATGGGGGCGGAGGAGTGTAGCTGGGGGGCAGGGGTGACTGAGAAGGCAGCAAATGGGAAAAAGATGACTGCAGACCTGCATCACGCCTATGCCCATTCAGTAGTCACTGGCTCCCACTGTGGGATAAAATCCAGATTCCCAATGCCCCTCCCTGTTGTGTGCCTTCCTCTCATTTCTGAGCCCTGTGCCCCTCTCCTTGGGACCCACATAACATTCCTTGTAGGTATGTCCGGCCAGGTGGCGGCTTTGTCCCCAATTTCCAACTCTTTGAGAAAGGGGATGTGAACGGGGAGAAAGAGCAGAAGTTCTACACATTCCTGAAGGTAAGTGCACAGCCACCTCTGTAGGAGCCCCTGTGCCTGGTGACGCTGGCTCTGGATAGGGCTGCAGCCGCTCCCGGCTCCAGCCCACATGGAGACAAGGCCTGTGCCACCCTCCCCTGCTCCTGGGCCCTTGGGGAATTTCTTAATATCCGACTATTGTTCCAACCAGAGGGCTCTGCAGATCGAAGGATCTCATCAGCCCATTTTATACCTGAGGCCCAGGCAGGGACCCAGACGGAAGAAGCCAAAGGTCTCACAATGTGCCAAAGCTGGTTCTGGGACTCAGTTTTCTAACTCCCAACTGGTGCTCTTTTCTCAGGACCAAGCCGTTCTCCTACCCCCAGGAAGGCCTGGGGAGGACGCGGGTGGGAGGGGGAGGGCAGGAGGGGCCCCAAGCAGGGTTGACGCTATTCTCATTCCTGCTGCAGAATGCCTGTCCCCCCACCTCGGAGCTCCTGGGCTCACCTGACCGCCTCTTCTGGGAACCCATGAAGATCCATGACATCCGCTGGAACTTTGAGAAGTTCCTGGTGGGGCCAGACGGCAAACCCATCATGCGCTGGTACCACCGGACCACGGTCAACACCGTCAAGATGGACATACTGGCCTACATGAGGCGGGAGGCGGCCTTGGCGGCCAGGGGGAAGTAACTGAGGCCCGCCCCACCCCATGTCCACCATGCAAGGGCTGGGGAGGGACTCTTTCAGGAAGGAATCCATGTCTCTAAGCACACCACACTCCCACCATAAACCCCTTACTATTACACAAGGCCTCAGCCCGACACAAACATGTGCATACAACTGTGTCTGTTCTGCTGTGCGTGTGGCTGTTGGCACACACACCTACAGGTGTGTGCACATGTGTCTACAGCCACATGTCTACCTGTGTGAATTCCCAGGAATGTGTACCATCTGTGTGCCCACAGCTGTGTACTGTGGAGAGCGCTAGAGAATAACTCCCCTTTCTCTCCAGTTCTCTGTTCCAATGATAACAATTCACTTTCAGCTGAGCCCAAAGGAAAAACCAGCTCTCGACTCATTGTTCTGCTCTAAACTGGACCTCAGCCTTGGGACATCTCCCACTGCCTCTAAATACTACGAGTGAAGTGCCCAGAAGTGTCTGGGTCTATCACACTGCCCAACCTCCCTCCTCTCCATTGTGCAGCCTCTCTCCTTCCTGAAGGGCCCTCCTGAGCCCCAACCCCACCCCATAGTGCTCCGAGAGCAGCCAAGGCAGATGTGAGAGCAAGGGCTACATTCCCCATGTCAGGGGTGGCATCTCCATGATGGAGGGGCCCGAAGCCCTGGTGGGCGGACCTCCCCAGAGCCTGTCTGAAGGGCCAGCCCTTAGTGCATTCAGGCTGAAGCCCCCAGGCAGGGACGCCACCCCCGCTCCTTTGGGGGACATGCCCTCTCCCCTCACCCTGGCCCATGGCATTAGACTCACCCCTGTCTGCCCAGTAAAGGCCTTTCTGCAGCAGCTCAGTCTCCTGTGATGCTTCCTCAATGGGGCCGCCCCAGCTGGAGGGGAGGTGGGGAAGTGGAGAGAAGAAAAGAAATGAAGGGGGGCTGGTGTGGTGGCACAGCGGTTGGGTTCGCACATCCTGCTTTGGCAGCCCGGGGTCCGCCAGTTCGGACCCCAGGTGTGGACCTAAACACCGCTTGTGAAGCCATGCTGTGGTAGGCATCCCACATAAAATAGAGGAAGATGGGCACAGATGTTAGCTCAGGGCCAGTCTTCCTCAGCAAAAAGAGGAGGATTGGTGGCAGATGTTAGCTCAGGGCTAATCTTCCTCAAAAAACATATATATAAAAAAAGAAAAGAAAAGAAATGGAGTACTTCCAGCCCCTGCTTTTTGGTTCCTATCTGGGCCCACGCTGCTTCTCTAACTCAGCATTTGGGGTTTATAAAACCAGTTCACATCTACTCTCATTCCCTCCCACAATTCTCTATGGCACCTGGGGCTGAGATGGGGCGTTGCATTTGACAGGTGAGGAAACTGAGCCTCATGGATGGCCCAGGCCTTGCCCAGTGCCTCCTGATGGGGGAGGGGCAGGACTGGAATTTACTCAGGGCGCCTCTCAGCCCAGGCCCCTTTGATGCCCCTTGCTCAGGGAGGCTCTGGGCAGGGCCCCGGCGGATTATCTGTCAAGAGTAATGGCGAGGCTCTGGGGACTGGGGGGCTGGGGGCACCGAGGGAGGGGACCGGGGAAGTAGCCCTCTGAGTGACCGGGAGGGGAACATTAGCAGGGGCATGAAAGAACACCAGTCAGAGAATGTTGATCATCAACTTGGATTTATGTCCAAGATTCGTGCAAACAGCTGTCCAGGGACAGACACCCTAGTCCGGGCCTCTGGCACCACAAGCCTCCAGCTGCAGGGCCAAGGGCTTGGCAGCTTCAGGCTGGGCCCCTCAGCGGATGTGGCTGGCATGGCCTTCATCCAAGGCTGCAGTGGCGCTGGCAAGGCTGTGGTGGGCAGAGGTGGAGGGCTCTGCAGCAGACTGTTCTCTTCTGCTCCCGGAGGCAAACATGCTCTTCCCGCAGCCATTCATAGAAGGGAAGGGATGGGTGTGGGGCAGGTCCTGCCACTACAGAGCTTAAAGCAAAAGTATACACAGACATGAAATGAACATGGTCCCCAGAGGGGCTGGAACCACTTCTGGGGAAGTTTTGAAAGGAAGGGGTCTCGGCTGCATCCCACTCTTGAAACTGATGTCCCCCGGCGGCTTCCGCAAAGGATGGCAGGTCGAAGCAGGATGAGGCCTCTCTCCGCTCACTTGGTGGCAGGGTAGTGAGTTTTTCCCGGGCACTCCAAACAAGGGGCCCAAACGGAAGCCTTCCGGGTGGAGCCTCTGCAGTCCGTCAACAGTTCAGGGCAGGGCCAGGGCACAAGCTGGCCACCCATCTGTCTCAGCCTCCGGTCTGGCTGCGGCCCTGGCCACACAGAGCACGTGGCCTCTAGTTTTTCAGTAATCTGAGATCAGCTGGCTCTGCAGGATGGAGATGGAGCCCAAGTGACGCAACCTGGTCTCACTGAGGCCTCTCACGGTCATTTTTTGTGGACTCTAAATAAACAAAAATTTTGAATGGTTAAAGATTATGTGCTACACTAGGTTTCAAAGTCCTATGGAAACCAATATAGTAACAGTGAAAATAAGAGCTAGAGTTACTGGGTGTTAGCAAGTCCTAGGGCCCAGGCTAAGTGCCTCAGGTCCATCTGTCAACCAATCCTCGCTCAGCCCTATGAAGCGGGCAGATGATTAACCCTCCATGGAGGAGGAAGCCAGGGCACAGAGAGGTTTTAAAAATCTGGCCCAAAGTCCCAGATCTAGGAAGTGCTGGAGCCTAGCCAGTCTGTCTCCAGATCCCAGAAGTGGAGCAGTTCTGGGGGAGGGGACAGTCCTGTCCACTTGGCGACCCTCTGCCACTCATCAAAGCAGCCTCCAAGGGGCTGCACAGAACCTCTAGGACTCTACAGAGAACCATTAGGAAATGACTGAGCAGCTGGGTCCTTCCTCCCCACCACTAAACCCTCCAGACCACACTCCCACAAGTCACCCTGCAGCCTCTGCTCGCACACCTTCTGGAAGCGGCACTCTACGTCCTGGCCGAGCCGGCGCTGTTTCTGCACAGCTGCGACCCTCAGAAAGCTCCTCTTCGTGCTGAGATGGGCTCGACCTCTGCATCGCTCCCACCCACTGGTTACCTTTCTGTTCCCAGAAGCCCACAGGCAAGGCAGTGCCTTCTGCCCAACGAGAGCCTTGCAGAAAGTAGTCACTAAGGGCCAGAGTCTTCTCATGACTAGTGAATACAGCCCCATCCCTTCAACTGTTTATGGTGGGCACCATGGCCAGAGGGAGCTTTTCAAAATGCAAAGTTAATCTGTCATGCTGCTCTTTAAAAGGCCTTTAAAAATGTCCAAGGAGTGGTCATCATCCTTAAGCCCCCTGCCACAGTCAGCAAGGCCCTGCCTGGCCTGGACCCCCCCACCTCCCGACCCTGCCTTGCCTGTCTCTCCTTCCCCACCTTGTTCTCGGCTCCAGCCACAGTTGCCTTCTCTTGATCCCCATTCGGCCAGAATTCTTCCCTCCCTCCCACCAAGGCCTTTGTATGTCATTTCTCTGCAAGAACATCTTCCACTCCTTCCTCTTCACCGAGTGAATGCCACTCCCTCTGCGGGTCTCCACGCCAAGGTCATTGCTCCCCGTCTAGGTCAGCTTCCTCGGTTATCTCCTCTGACAGACACCTGCTCTTCTTCCTTCCGGGTGCTTGAGTGCAGTATGCCTGCTGGTGTGACTCTTTTGTATTCATTTCTGCCTCACTCTCTAGACAGGAAGCTCCATCAGGACAGGGACCACACCTGCTTCTGCTCTCTCGGCTCCCCCAGCCCTCAGCCCAGCTCCTGGCATTCAGACACTAAGTTACAATGAATGAATGAATGGTTTCGATCCCCTCACCCTGGAGGTACTGTCCCTTTCCTCTCAACACTGTTTCAGAAAGCTGGGCCTCTCCTCCACCAAACTCAGAATGTAGCAACACCATTCCCCAACTGGGGCGATCCTGGCAGATAAGAAGTTATCTCCCCCAGGGGAAGACAAGACCCAGTCCGAGAGATCAGGATCACCTGGTTCCGTAGGCCTGGCTGTGGGCGAGTCCATCACTTGGGAGCTCTGATTGTGCATCCCTCCACAGGCCGGCCGCCAGGTGTATTCTGGCTGCAACAAAACTGGGGCTTAGTGATCAATAACCACACTCGAAAATGAGAATAGCAGCTACTGTGCCAGAAGAGCACTAAATACATACTAATCAAGTATAACTGAATCCTCTCCCCAACAACCCAGATTGCTACCCCCATTTTACAGGTAAGGAAACTGAGGCTCTGCGGGGTTAAGTAACTTGTTGAAGGCCATCCAGCTAGGAAAGTGGCCAAGCTTCAATCTGAGTTCAGGTCTCTATAATCCCAGAGCCAATCTCCTAAGCCCCACACTATACTCCAGTGTTTAAAGAAGATGTGTGCAAGGAATGGTCATGGGGGAGAAGCTGGAAGAGGCCAATAGGAGCTGTGGTCATCGTCCAGGTGATGTGGCAGACGGATTGGAGAGGATGCGACAGGTGACGGCAGCTCTTTGAAGAATGATAAGCAAGGAAAAGAAAAGCAAGCAAAAAAAGAGAAGAGAAAAGAAAAGGAAAGGAAGCTGAAATGGAAAAGAGAAGAAGAGGCAGGGGAGAGAATGCATGGCAAGGATCTGGTACCTGGTCACAGGTGGGGCTATGAAATAAAGTTGAACCCAAACTCATCATGACCCCCTGGCCTGGCTAGCTGGAGGGAGCCCTTCCCGCCCAACTCTCTTCCTCAGCCTTTCCTGTCTACACCGGTGACCCTGAGCCCAAGCTTGGGCTGCAGTGTCCTGCCCCTGGGATGGCAGGGTGGGCCCCAACATCTGCCGTGCACTGCACCGCTGTTCAGGAAGGAGCCGAGGATGCAGTTTCTGCCCCCTCACTTGACCCTGCCCTCTGGAAAGAGTCTGAAGTGGCCTCTGTGTGTATCCCAGAGTGAAGGAGGGGCCAGACTCACCAGATGAAAGAGGCGTGAGTTGGGGAGTGGGGGCGGGTGCTCCATGGCCATGGGGGGTGGGGGGTAGCGGATCTGGGACCAGTCGTCAAAGCCGTGGTGTGGCATCCTGGCTGGTAAGGGCGGGTACATATAGGGGTAGGCCCCGCAGACGTGCTCCGGGTGGGGCTCCACGTGGTAGCGCTCTGCCGAGGCCTGCAAGAAAGGCTGACGTCTGGCTCCGGCCTGTGACAGGCTGCACAGGCCATCCCCAGTGACACCCATCGCATCTCCCATTCTCTATTTGGAACTTAGTTCTCTGAAGGCAGGGACATGGGCACAGTGGCTGGTACACGGGGACAGAATATCAAGTGACGAGAGCTAACGTGCCATGAGCACTTACTCTGTACCAAGTGCTAAGTGCTCTCCCTGCACCCCCATCCGTGAGTGGGCCCCTGAGCAAGCGCGACCCCCCATCAGACTGCAGACCCTGAAGAAGGCGAGACGAGGTGAGTGCTGCGCGTCTCTCAGGCCTCCTCACCTTCGCTTTCCTCTTCTGCTGTTTGAGGGCTTCTTTCGCCTTTTCTTCATCTTTGAATGCTTTTAGCTGAGAGGAGGAGGGAGGGAGAGAAGGCTGTTGGCACAGGTGCTTCCTGGCCAGGCCTGGACCCAGGGCCTAACCAGCCTGGAGGGCTGACTGCTGATGCACACGGCCACCAGCCTGGGGTGTCCTGCCTGCCCAGCCCCGGGGAAGGGCCTGTGGGGCATGCACAGCGCAGGCTGGGGGCTGCAGGTAAGGGCTGAACCCAGGTCAGGAGGGCTCCCGGGAGCTTCTGTGCTTCAAAAACAGGATTACTATCTCTTAGTTCCCCGTCTGCGAGAAAGTGGGCGCCTCGGGGCCAATTCCTAAATTTGCTCTTTAAGGCATCAAAACTGAAAGGGGGCAGGGTTTGCTGAGCTACACAGAAGTCCGGTGGCAGAGCTGGAAGAACCAGTGAGTGTCCTGACATGCAGTCTTACCAGGGACCCTCCAGTCCATGCCCCATCCCATGAGGACAGGCCAGTTGCCTCTTGGCAGGTCCAGCTGCTCTCACCTGGGCGTTTGACATGGTGACCTGGGCCTGCAGCTTCTCCACCTTCTTCTTCAGCTCTTCCTTCTCCTCGTTCATCCGCTCTCGATCGCTGCGCTCCCTCTGGAAATCCTCCTCAAAGATCTTCACCTGGAGGCGAAGGCGGGGTGAAGTGAGCGAGGAGGGGCAGTTCTGAGTCGGGGCTCGGAACCGGGCCTGCTGCTGGGAGTCACTGCGGTCAGAGCTGGTGTGACCCCGTCTCGACGTCACGGTGCGGAGGGGAATGGGTGCACCCCCCCGCCCCGCTCCCTACCCACAACTTCTAACAGAGTACTTCTGGGTCCATCTAGTTTACTTTCCGGGATTCAAAATAGGGCTTTATTTGAATAAAGGATGCATGGGGGAAAAAATGTCGAAAGTCACCCACCAGTCCAATCCTTTCATTCTGTTAAGGCCCACAGAGAGGCAGGGGCCACAAGCCCAGAGTGTGGGTGGAGACTGGAGCTCAGGTCTCTCTAGTACCTACTAGTCTCCCTTGTTAACAGAGAAAGAGCAGGCTTCAGGCCCAGAGCCTTCAATGGGCAAAGGCACTTGGCCAGAATTTGTGAGCACCCTTCCATCTTCATTGTATTGTTGTTGTAAATAGTTGTCATCTATTTATTATAGCAATGCTGTCTTCCATTTACTCCAGCAAAAGTTTTCTTTACAATGATTTTTTTTTTTTTGAAGATGATTAGCCCTGAGCTAACATCTGCTGCCAATCCTCCTCTTTTTTGCTGAGGAAGACTGGCCCTGAGCTAACAGCTGTGCCTATCTTCCTCTTAAAATGTATTTTTAAAATACTGGTACATGATAGCCCAGTTGGGGCATAGAGATGGCTAAATCATAAAGGTGGTAGAGGAATGACCTAGTTAGGGATACACTGCTGGAAAGGATAGACCCATAACCAGACAGGGGTCCTGGCCAATGGCCAGAGCATGGAGTACTAACTACAGCTCCCACCGAGCACCTCTGCTCTGGCCTCCTGCCCCAGCCTCACCTGCTGTTTCAGCAATTCGTTCTGCGTGACCAGCTCCTGTTTCCTCAGGAGGGCTGCGGCTCCTTCCGGGCTCCCAAATGCAGCCGATGGAGATGATGGGGAGGCCTGGATGCTCAGTGCTTCCTCCAGCGCCTGGGAATAGGAAGAGAGGAGGCGGGCCCATCAGCAGATGCCCGTGAAGTCAGGCCCCATTGAAGGGGTCATGCTCAGTGACCCCACCTCCTGATAATAATGATAATAATAACCACCACCCAGTACTATTTAATAAATGCAACCCTGTTTATTAACACTCGACACACATCATTTTACCAAATCCTCTCCCCAGTCCCATGAAGAAAAGACTATGATCATCACCCCCATTTTACAGATGTGAAAATTGAGGTTCGGAGACCTGAAGTGATTTGTCCAAAGTCACACAGCTAGTAACCGGCAAACCAGGGATTCAGACTTAGCATGCACTCTTAACCAGCAGCCTAAACTAGAGTCCGCACGTAGAAGGGAGAACCTCCCCTTCCTTGAGCAGGTGTGGCTCAATTCTTAGCACCAGACCTAGAAAGAATATTAAGTCCTCTGGGGGAAGCTTCAGTGTCCCCGACAGCTGCCCTGCCCTGAGGTTCTGAAGCTTCCGTGGGACTCTTCGGTTTGAGCAGCCCGTTCCCACGAGCCAACCCTTCCAGCCTCAACTCTTCTGTAGACTAGATTTTAATTTCAACTGATTTAATATTTTACCTTTCTAACCCTGAAAGTGGGCTGAAACATCACCAAACAACACTTTGAAAAAAAAAAAGAAAAACTCCCTCCCATTCTACAGGCTCACAAAATCCTTCCCTCTGTGTAAAGTGTCCTCACATCGTCTTAAAAGGGTTCCAATAACTGGCTCTCTCTCTCCACCCTGTGAACCTGTTACTCAGGAACTTTGGAACACCTCTCAGGACTGGTCACCTGCATCACCGCCTGGACTCCAGCCCGCTGGACGGCAGGGCCTCTGCCCGCCATGCGTCAGCACTGCCCACAGTGTCCCCTCGGACAGTGGGGAGACAGAGGAAATGCTTCTCAACTTGGTCCTGGGCCTCTGCTTGGTCTCCTTGACTCCCCCAGCTCAGGACAGACCATTCTTTTCTCTGAGAACAGGTCCCAGGGGCCCCAGCCTTGGTATAATCAATGTTTATCAAACACCAAAACCAAACACTGGGCCAGTGAATGCAAACCCAGGACAGAGCCGCAGAAGCAGAGTGAGGAGGCGGAAGGCAAGGCAGACAGACAGGACGGGGGAAAGGCTGAGTCACAGACGACAGCTCCTCCAGGCCTCCGGGAAATGCTGCCTTTCAAGCTCCCTCCTGTCAGCTGGCTCCCTTAACCCCTGCCCTGGAAGGTGGGCAGGGCTAGAATGATTCCAACCAGGGTTCAGATAGCAAAACTGAGGCCCAGAGAGGTTACAATGGCTAAGTGGGGACTACAACCAGGCCCCAGCCCTGGCCTGGCCCACTGCCACTGGCCGTGGCTCAGAGCACTGCTCTACCCAGCCTCCACTCCGGGCGCCCATCTCCCTGGGTCCCATTTCTCAAGGGCAGGAACCCTTCAGCCTGTGCTCATCCACTGCCTCCAGTGAGTATTTCCTGAACACGTGCTGGGTGCCAGGCACCAGGCGTGGGGCCAGGTGCTGGCGGTACGTGCCCCGGGGAAGACGTGCGCCTCCCCCCACCGGACGGGAAGACAGAAGGTTAAATAAGTCATCCAGAGAAAATGCGGGAAGGGTACGAAAGAAGATGCTGGTGCTTTGGGCGCATAGAAAAGGGTGACCTAAAGGAGACCCAGGGAAGGCTCGCCGGGGAAGTGGTGTTAAAGCTAAACCTGGACGGTGAGAGGAAACAGCACGTCCCAGGGCTGGCGGCTCAGCATGTGGGGAGGGAAAGGCAGAGGCGGTGAAGCACAAGGCCACACAGAGGCCCTCAGTGCCCGCACCCTGACCCAGGGGTTGCCCATCTTGAGCTAAGGGTGGGGGACCCTGGAGATGGGATGGGCATTGTGGCTGGGCTCAGGGAAGCCCTGCCCGCCCACTGGACTGGGGCCAAGGCCCCCACCTTGTTGAGACGCTGGATCTCCTTTTCCTGGTACTCCCGCTGCCGGGTGAGCGGGCTCAGCTGATCCTGCAGGTACTTGACCTTCTGGCGCAGCTCCTTGGCCTCTGCTGTCAGCTGCTCCTTGTCTGTCTGCAGGGAACACAGGGTTGGTGAGCAGGAGCCTCTCCAGGAGGCTCAGACTCCCCGCACTACCTGCCCCCACCCCCAGCCATGCCTCCTTTCGCTGCCACTCTCAGCAGTCCCCACAATGCTCACTCGCAAGGCACGGTGGCTGAGAGCAGTAACGCCCAGACCGTCCTGTCCTCCAAGAGGCGGCTGGTGGAGTGAAAGGCCCTGGTCCTCACACCGCCTCCTCCACCAGGGAGCTGAGACCTCGGGCACTGTCACAGCCATCTCTGGTCTAAGTTTACCTATCTGCCATAGGTCATGGGGTCTCAACAGGAGTCATGGATGGACTTTGGGTCTGTGAGCCCCAAAAATGAATGCAAAATTTTGTCTGTGCAATTTTCGAGAGAGAAAAGCCGAGAGTTTCTACCAGATTCACACAGGGGGCTTCTGTGACCTACAGGAAGTGACAAACCATGGAGAATCTCTAAAGAACCTGTCAGCTCTTACAGTCTCTGAGCCTAGAGGAGGGAAGGCACTCAAAGAAACAAACACTGCATAAGGAGAAAGTGTCCCTCCACAGAGAAACAAAGTTCTGTGAGGTTAAAAGAAAGAACACTAGAGCTGAGAAGAAACCAGGGAGGGCTTCAAGGTGGAAGCACTGCTCCCACACCACTATGGAACAATCAGGGCTTCTTCAGTGCAAGGGCCTCAGCTGGAATGCCCTTTAGAGAGCACCAAGTCCTAGCCCCTTTAGACAACCAGAAAGGAATGTTCAGAGAGGGGAGGTGACTTCCCCAAGGCCACACAGTGACCTGGGGCTAGAACCCAGGTCTCCTAATTCCAGTGCTCTCTCTCTCCCCCTGCAAGTCCAAGGAAGTGTTTAAAACAGGGGACGGCAGTCAGACTGCTGAGGACAGCCTTGGTCAGGACTTGTGGGAGTTGTTCTGGACTCCCCACTTGAGAGGCTCCAGATGGCCTCTACCGCCACATGTCCTGTGTCCTCGTCTGCAGGGCCATGCTCTGTCTTGACACGTCCCACCTCTGCCCCAGCTGAGAGGGAGGAGCTGTCAGATTCCAGGGACTTGTCTCGCCTACTGGTAGGAGCCAGGGGAAGGGACCAAAGAGCCGAGGTCCGGCTGCGAGTCACAGGGTGTGACTGCACACGAGAGAAAAGACAGGCAGTGTCCTTCCCAGCACACATCTTCAGGGTGAGGAGTGGCCACCGAGCAGGCTGGCCACTGAGTTAAGGCTCCCGGGTGGCACATGCCAACAGGAGGGGACTCTGAAATGTTCATGAAATTTCAACCCACGGTGAAAACGTCCATTTCTAAGTTTGGCAAAGGTAGCCCGTGTCCAGTTCCCACGAAGCAGAAGACATGTCGACATAAATAAAACCTCCCGAGAGTCTGGGGCCAGATGACCTTTCCTCTTTAAGCTGCAACATGACACCTGCCTTGGCTGCTATCAGTCATACGCATGACAAATCAGAGGCTCCTTCTTCAGGGGACCTATTCCTGGAGCCCCCAGGCTGAACCGGGTCCCCCTTATGCCCTCTCCCTGGTCCCCGTCACCTCCTGCATGGTACCTCTACATATACTTCTGCTTGTTTGCGGCTGTAATTAGTTGTTTAGTGTTTCTTCCCCCTCAACGGTGGGCTGGACTGTTGACCACTGAGTCTCTGCCCAGCACAGCAGCGAGTGCACCATCTGCTGAACCAGGACTAGACAAATGAATACAGGAAGCTTTGTCTGATATGTTAGCCCCTCCCGCACAAACGCCCGTCACTACTGCAAACATCCAGCAGCACCGCCCCCATGAGGGTAATCCAGCAGGCCTGCCTGCATCTCTCCTGTATTCTGTGCTTCTCTGCACAGTCCCCTGGTCCATAACATTTTAACTCAACCAAAAGCTCTTCTCTAGGAAAACAAGAAAAAAGGAAAAGCAACAGCTAATCCAATCTCCTCAATTTTCAGATGGGAAACTGAGGCACAGGGAAGGAAAGTGCTTTTGCCTACAGCCACACAGCCCTCTAGCATGGGAGCCTGACTCCCACCCCCGGCTTGTTCACTCCACTGAGCTCCCCACTAATGCGGAGGGCAGGGCAGGCCTCCCGCGCTGAACCTCAGGGACCAGCAGCCACACTTGCCTCCTCCATTTCAATCTTGGACTTGGCCAGGAGGAGCTTGCGGTCAAAGTCGCGCTGCTTCTGCTCCCGCTCGGCCTCCAGGTCAGTCACCTGCTTCTGCAGGTCCGCCAGCTTCTGGCGCAGCTCAGTGATCTGGGTTCAGAGGCAGAGAGAAGGAGTGTGTGAGAGCAGGGGCTACCATCCACGGTGCGAAGCTGCCGGGGAGGAAACAGCAAGCAGGAGCCTGCGGATGTCCCCAGAGCGCAGCCGAGAGCCACGGTTCAGGCTTGAGTTTTCAGAACCCCCACGTTACCTTCTGCTCGTACTGCTGCTTCATGGACCGGAAATGCTGGTCCCATTGCTTGTTCACTTCCAGCAGCTGTGGGGCGAGACGGGGGTAGCAGGAGATAAGCAGAGAAGCCACGAGGAGAGTCAACTCCACATGGACCAGCTTCCCAAGGTGCGTGCAGTGTGTGCCAAAGGTGGCTGCAGACGCTGCCTCAATCCTTCGCTTCTCAAAGACACAACGTTCCTCAAAGCAATTCACCTTTACCAACCGCCACATTGTATCCCTGCCAGGAAAGTGAGACTAATACCAAGACACAGAAACAGTACACAATTATGGAACACACACTTCTTCAGAGGGCAATTTGGGACTATGGATTAAAACTTCAGGGACCAGCCCTGTGGCATAGTGGTCAAGTTCGGCACATTCCACTTTGGCAGCCCAGGTTCGTGGGTTCTGATCCTGGGTGCAGACCTATGCCACTCGTCAGCCATGCTGTGGCAACAACCCACATATAAAGTGGAGGAAGACTGGCACAGATGTTAGCTCAGGGCTAATCTTCCTCAGCAAAAAAAATAAACAAATAATAAAACTTCAAGTTCACATTTTCTTCAACCCAATAATTCCACTCTGAAAATGTAACCAAAAGAAGTACTTGCACAATTGTGCAAATATATATGTACAAGGCTGACCATCTCGGCAATGTCTGTATTACAAAAAAAGTCCGGAGGAGAACCTAAGCATAGGAGCTGGGTTAAAGGCATCGTGGGACAAACAGAAAATGGAGCACTGTGCAGCTATTAAGAAAATCAAGCAACTAATACATTGCCTTGTTTCTAAGACGACACTAACTATCTGCCATACTCTTATTGTAACAATTCCTCCAGGAAGAAAAACAATCCTACATCATTAAATACATAAAACCATGGGAAAGGGTATCCTAATTTCAGAAACATTAACATATGATAAAGAGTGCTCAGAATTCAAAGAATATAGTACATGTTTAACATATAAACAACTATCCTCAAAGATATGGTTAATTTTAAAGAAAGAAGAGTGGTCATCTGCAATGCAGTACATACCATTTTTTCTGCTTATTTTTAAAAACAGATTATACATTAGTAAGTACACAGAAGAAACTGAGGAATATGCAATGAACTGTTAGTAGCTGTGGTCATCTCTAGGAGGTGACATTCTCGATCTTTCTATCATGAGCATTACGTTACTTTTGTAATCAGAAAAAATACCTACAGCAAAACAAAAAGAAAACTACAATGAATATGCACGTAGACAAAAGACTAAAGGAGGTCTGACTGCCCACTGTGCCGGGGGACCAGGCCCATAGGAAGGCCCAGGGACCTGGAGAAGGACCTGAGCCGGTGGAGAGCAGGGGCCGAGAGAGCAGACGGGAACTGGGCTTCCACCTCCCGTCTGGGAATACAGGCCTGGGGGTGGGAGACGGAGGAGGAACACGCACGAGGCACAAGGAACAGCCTCAACTTCTGACGACTTCCAGCCGGTTAGAAGCAGTGCTGCAAGAAGGCTCGGATCCTCTCGTTCTCTGACAGTCCCTCCCTGAACCAGCTGTGTGGTGACAGATGAATGCCAAGCCCCCACTCCTGATGCTGAAACTTGCCTACTTTATCCACCATGCAGGACTTCCCACGGAGCCTTCCTAAAGGACCTTCCTGCCAACAACTCCAAGCCGTGCCCCAAATGCCGCCTCCTTAGAGTGACCCCTGTGGGCAGGGGGACTGATCAAGAAACAAGAGCCTGGGACAAGGCAGCAGGTCTTCCCCATGGGCAGATGGCTCGGAGGTCACCATGGCAACTCTCCATAGTGGCTGGGACCAGCCAGGCAGCCAGGGAGGGCCTTTATCTTGCTGGTTCCAGGAGGGCAGAGGGGTCTTCCCAGACCACCGCCTCCTCCTCCCGCCACCTACCTCAGTGCGCTGCTGCTCCAGCATCTTCACCTTCTTCTCAGCTGCACCCAAGGCCCCCATCTCTGGGGTCTTACTTGCTGTCACACTAGCCTGGGGAGAAACACAAAGGGGCCTTCAGCAAAGCCTCAAATAATTCCCTCACCCACTTTGTGCTCCTCCAAGGCCCCTCACCCCTAAGACCTAGCCCTTGTCTCCCACCTCTCTATCCTTCCACCCACCAGGACACTGCCACACACCCAGCCATAACTAAGCCCCCTTCAGGAAGTCTATCAAAATCATTACTCCCCCTCCCTGACCCACAGTGGCTGCCAGACCCTGCCCCCCTCCTCCCCTCCCCACGGCCACTTCTTTCCCTGCTCAGGCTGTGTCTCCAAGGCACTGCCCACTACCCTCCCCTCCCCCAAAACAAATCAGCTCCAAATCCTGTGACCTGGAAGGCAAGAGTTATATGTTTTTTAACATCTCATAAAATGTTTATTTTAAAAATGTTTTTAGGGGCCGGTCTGATGGCGTAGTGGTTAAGTTTGCATGCTCTGCTTCAGTGGCCCAGGGTTCACAGGTTTGGATGCTGGGCATGGACTTAACACTGCTCATAAAGCTATGCTGTGGTGGCATCCCACATACAAAATAGGGGAAGACTGGCACAGATGTTAGCTCAGGGCCAATCTTCCTCACCAAAAAAAAAAGTTTTTAGAAAGATACAAAAATAAAGATGTCTGTCTACGTGTGATGGGTACCCATACATGTACTTCCTAGCTCTGTCCTCTGAGAGGGCCCAAAGCAGTGACACTCCAGGAGCAATAAGCACACCTTGTGCCCAAATCTTGGTTTCTAAATGCCATTCTATAACAAAAAGAAACAGGGCTCCCTGGAGAAGTGGTTAATTCCAGGGCTGGAGCAGGGAAAATAGAAGGCAAGTTCGGAGCATCTTATGGTGCCTGAAAGTAAAGAAGTACTCAATAACAATACTAAGAAGAAGGGCATGTCAAACGGGCACAGGAGACAGCTTGAAAGAGCTTCTTACGGCCAAAGGTGGAACAATTTGAACAAGAAAATAAATCACGATAATACTGGATTATAACCCAAAGAATAAAATAAATATCCTTGAGTCCACACTGGTAGAAAGGAATAGTTAAATAACAAATAAATGGGGGAGAAGGGACGACTCTCCCTCACAGAAGAATTCTAGGTAGCGAATGAAGAAAGAACGAGGGAAATACAAAATCGCACTAGAATGCTATGGTAATCATAATTGCAACAGGTGCAGTCCACGAACGGATGCTAAAATAAGAGAGCCGAAGTTTAAGAAGAAACAGGATTTTCACACAGTCTCAAAGTTCCTCCTCAAAAGTAAATATTTATTAATTACAAAGGGAAAATTAGTCACTTGTGGTAGAGAAATCTGACAGACATCCCCTTAACCGAGTGACGGAGGCTGACAGTAATAAGACACGCTGACCTCACACGCCCCCGACAGGACGCACTGCGAGGGCGCGCTGTCACTCCTGTGTCGTCCTGCCCGAATCCAGAACCTCAGTCGAATCATGAGAAAACACCAGATAAACCCAAACAGAGGGACATTCTACAAAGTACCCAGCCAGTATAACTAAAGAGTGTCAAGCTCCTGAAAGGCAAGGAATACCTGGGGACTGTCACAGACAGGAGGAGACTAGAGCAACGTGACCACTGAATGCGGTGTGGGCGCCAGGACTGGATCCTGGGGCAGGAAAAGGACATGAGTGGAAGCCTGGTGAGAGCTGAACGAAGCCTGCAGCTGCGGGCAGGGTGTTGTGCTGGCGTTCACTCCCAGATTTTGATCACCGATCAGGTAAGATGATAAGGGGGTAGGGATGTGGGAACTCGCTGGACTGTTCTGGCAACTCTTTCGTAAGTCTAAAGTTATCTCAAAACAAAAAGTTCTAAGTTTTTTCTTTAAAAAATAGGAAGGGCTGCTTTGAAACAGCAGAACAAGGCTAGGAGCCCAGAAGTTGAGCCCCAGCTCCACCTCCAAGGCCCTGCATGATGTAGGTCGAGACCCACACCCTCTCTGGGCCTCGGGACAAGGAGAAGATCAAACAGGGTGGGCTCTGAAGGCCCTGACCTCTGATACCCTGGGGGACTGTCAGCACTTGTCCTGGGGTCGCTGTCCACATTTTCTATTCCTTCCTTCCAGTCCACACTCCCCTGTGGCTTGGGGTGGGGCCTGGGGACAGAGCTTGTGAGGCTCAAGCGCCCCCTACAGGCTGAGGTCTGTAAGCACACCACAGACCCAGGGAGTGAGGGGAGCGGCTGGGGGAGCCCCCCACGGACCATCGCCTCCTTTAAGACAGGCGAGAGATGGGCCTGCGCTGAGAAGCCTGCTGCCTCCTGCAGGGAAGCTGCGCTTAGCATTACTGGGGAAGGAGAAAGAGGGGATGACTGGCTTATGGGGGAGCACTCAACCTCCACAAAGGAGAGGAGTCAGCCGGCAGGGCTGCTGGCGCCAAATCTGCCATTAAGAGCAACGGGTAACATTCACTGTTCACCACGTGCCAGGTGCTAAGCGTGCTTTACATGCACCACGTACTGAATCCTCCAATCCCCCTTTAGGGCAGGTATCATCATCTCCGTTTTACAGAGGAGGAAACTGAGGCCGGAGAGTTTACGTAACTTGTCCAAGGTGGCCGCACTCACAAAGAGCTGGAGCTGGCATTCAACCCACAGGGGACTCCAGGGCACAGGTTCCCCACTGCCCGCACGGCCCACCTCCTCTGGGACCTTCCTCCCTGGCGTGGCGGGAAGAGCATCTGGCCTTTCCGGGAGCCAAGTGAGATGAGTTGATACTAAAGGGTTGGGAAATGTGAAGAGGCCTGCCCCCAGCACTCCAAGCCCCAGGGGAGCTGAGGGGCGCCCATGAGTCACTCCCGCCAGAAGGCAGACAAGGCAGGCTGGAGGGCTTCCCGGGCAGCGATTCCGAGGCCATTTATCTGCATGTGTCTCTGCCCCACCCCATGTCTGCCTGATGGCAAGTGATGCAGGAGTCTCGATTACGTGATGTCACATGACCTCTCCGAGCCTCCTGCCATAGATGTGTCACAAGGTAGCAGTTCCAGCCCTGCCCACCTTACATGCAGAGAGAGGGGATCCAAATGAGGTAATGGATTTGCAAGTCCTGGGTCAACTCTACATTGCCACATAGCAATAAGAAATTAAGTAATTAGGATAATTACTATTACATAGGTGTGGGGTTTGTTGAAGATGTGAAGTCCTGCTGCGCAGCCATTAAACCCCATTAAAGGGGAAAACATGTCAGTTAAAAAGTTGGGGCTCAGCTCTGCAGCAAAGGGGAAGGCACAGGCCAGGCAAGGGAGGCGAGCCAGCTCCTGCTTGGGAACTGGATGTGAGTCATGGCTGGGAGCGGCGGTGGGAAGGGGGCAAGTGGGCCAGCCCCGTGGCATCCCCAGGCTGTGCCAAGGTTGGCTGGTGCCCTCCTCTCTCCATGTTGGAAGCTCCAGGATGCAATCCCAGGAACTTAGCAGAGTCCGCTGAGGGCCTTTCTCACCTAGCAACCTAATTCTGCCAGTAAGATCTGAGACGTTAAACTGCCTTTTGGGAGCCACCCTGTAAGAGAGACCTTGATCAATGGGTTTAGGGAATGTGCCCACATTGAGCAAAGGACTGGACGCCACCTTCTATCAGCAACGACCGAAGGGACTGCAGCTATTCAGCCTGGAGAAGAAGGGGCTTGTGGGGGCCACGGAGCCACGGTCACGGCCAGCAGCCTGAGCATGTATCCCAGGAAATGCCATGCTCCATGTGGCTGAAGGCAGAATAAAGGCTGAGGAGTGGAAGCTGCAGGGAGGCGGATGTCAGGACAAGCTGAGGAAAAGCCATCTAACCGTGGAACTAGCTGCAGCAGGAGGTGCTGAGCTCACTGTCACTGAAGGTGGCAGCAGAGGCTGGGCACCGGCAATCGAGGTGGCTGTGGAAGGAGTTTCTGACCACATACCTGCTGCTGTCCGGCCACCCCCTTCTTGATCGCGCCTTCCATCTTTGGCGAGCCTGGCCGCCCGGAGGCGCCCTCTTTGCCGCTGCTCATCAACAACTTCTTGAGCTCCACGTTTTCCTCCCTGGTTGGGGGCAAGGAGAGAGGTCACGTTGCTGGCCCTGGGTCAAGGAGGCTGGGGGCCTCACACCTACTATTCATCTGAGTTGCAGCTGAGTCCTGGGGAATAAGGACCCTGAAACCTGCTCTCGGGTAGAACCAAAAAGGGCATCTGTAAGCCACTTCGCTGGCAATCTGTGGGTTTCCCAGGAGTTCTAGGACAGAGACTCTAGAACCCTAGAGGGGTTTCCCCAACTGTGGATGTCTGTATACAAGCGATCTTCCGGATGCATCCACGCTGCACTGAATGACCCTGGGTCACACTGCTGAGAAAGTTACACCCTCTCCAGATCTCTTCAAACTTCCAGCATAGAGCATGGGGAAAGCCTCAGTTTGGTGCCAGGAGGTCTTGAGCACCTCTCTAATACCTACTAGTCTCCCTCGTTAACAGAGAAAGAGCAGCCTTCAGGCCCAGAGCCTTCAGTGGGCAAAGGTACTTGGCCAGAATTTGTGAGCACCCTTCCATCTTCATTGTATTTATTGTTGGAGTTGTCATCTATTCATTACAGCAATGCTGTTTTCCATTTACTCCAGTGAAAGTTTTCTTTACAATAATTTTTTTTTTTTGAGGAAGATTAGCCCTGAGCTAACATCTGCCACCAATCCTCCTCTTTTTTGCTGGGGAAGCCTGGCCCTGAGCTAACATCCATGCCCATCTTCCTCTACTTTATGTGCGGGACACCTGCCACAGCATGGCTTGACAAGCGGTGTGTAAGTCTGTACCCAGGATCCAAACCGGTGAACCCCAGTATAATAATTTTAAGTAAAAACACGATTCAAACTAAACTCTTAAGTAAATAATAAGGTAGGTGATACTGGACATAATAAAGGTGGCGATGTGGATTAAGGTACAACTGGAATATGGAAAATATTTCTTTTTTTTTAAAGATTTTATTGTTCCTTTTTTTCCCCAAAGCCCCCTGGTACATAGTTGTATATTTTTAGTTGTGGGTCCTTCTAGTTGTGGCATGTGGGACGCCACCTCAGCATGGCCTGATGAGCGGTGCCGTGTCCGTGCCCAGGGTCCGAACTGGTGAAACCCTGGGCCGCCAAAGCGGACTGCATGAACTTAATCACTCGGCCACATGGCCAGCCCCTGGAAAATATTTCTTTAAGTCCTATTTGAAGGCTTGGTTTCCACATAATAATAGAAAAACAGAGAAGGTAAGTGGCTTTCCCAAGGTCACACAGCGGGGACTTGTGCTATTGCCTTCTAATCATGAGTCTGTCCTCCAACCTGGATTTTGGGATTCATGGATGGAGTCATTATGACTATAAAACCTCAAAACTTTTGGCCATCCAAAAGTAAATAAGTATATGCTGATTCAAAATGGCCCTGTGACCCACTAGTTACACATTATCGTGGCCATACTTAAGAAATTTATAGGGGCCAGCCCGGTGGCACGGTGGTTAAGTTTGCACGTTCTGCTTCTTGGCGGCCCGGGGTTTGCCAGTTCAGATCCTGGGTGTGGACATGGCACGACTTGGCAAGCCATGCTGTGGTGGGCATCCCACATATAAAGTAGAGGAAGATGGGCATGGATGTTAGCTCAGGGCCAGTCTTCCTCAGCAAAAAGAGGAGGATTGGCAGTAGTTAGCTCAGAGCTGATCTTCCTCAAATAAATAAATAAATAAATAAATAAATGTCATTAAAAAAAAAAAGAAATTTATATTCTTTCTCTTTCTGTCGATTCTAAAATAAGCAACAGGAAGGGGAGAAAGGGAGTGGCAAGTCCTGGCTATAACACAGAGCTCTCCTGCATGTACCTGAGCCCAGCTAGCACCCAGCAGATGATTCATCCGAATGATCTCAGACCACAGTGCAGGCAGGAATTAGAGCCACTCCAGTGAACGGGGAGCAAGGAGGCCCAGGTTCTCACCGTGAGCCCTGAAGCAAGTCCCTGCCTCTCGTTAGGCCTCGGTCTCCCTCTGCACAATGAGGGGTCTGGCCCGCCTGCTCTCAAAGGGCCCTTCCAGCTCTAACAGTCAAGTTGAGGGGTTCTCAAGTGCGATCCTGGGCCCACCTACATCATAACCACAGGGGCCCGTGGGAAAACGCAGACGCCCAGGTCTCGCCTCAGACCGGCTGAGTCAGAACCTCGGCAGGGGAAGGAGGAGTGGGAGAGTGAACTTGTAGTGCCTTCCCCGACCCTCAGTGATCCTGCACGAAATCCGAGCCCCACTAGCCCAGATGAGGAATCCGACCAGCCTCAGGAAAACAGAGCAGGACGGGTGGTGGCCAGCAGGGGGCAGCAAAGTCCTGCGTCCTCGCCAGCAGCCAGCGAGCCGCTGTGAACAGGCCACCGGGCAAGCTCCCGAGGAAGGAGTGCAATTCGTACACACCCTTCTGAAGCTCTCTAGGCACTTTATGAACAGACGCTCCCCAGGTATTAAAAGGGCCAAAGAGGAAATGCCAAGGGACCCAGGGAGAAGGACCCAGAGACCCATCACCCAAAGCAGGGCTCTGGACACAGACCTCGGAGCCCTCACTCCAGAGACCAGCACCACGCGGCACGGCGTCCTCCTGCCCACCCCGGGTCCTCATGCCCTCCCTGAGGAGCCGGGACTCACCGCAGCCTCTCGGCAGCCTGATCCCGCTGCTCCAGGCCCTTGTCCAGCTTGGCCTTCAGGGCCTCATTCTCCTTCCGAAGCTGCTCACACAGGGTCTGCAGGGCAGAGAGGTAGACGGGGGGAAGGGAAGGGAAGGGATGCACCCCAAACGCATGCTGATGTTGGAGGACAGGGGAGGGGATGCAGTCAAGCCAGGTCCCAACACTTACCCCCTCTGCCTGGCCTCACCCAATCCCTCTCAGGACGGCTGGGAGCCAAGCCGCGAGGCTCATCCAGGCCCTCTACACATGCTCTCCCTCAGGAGCCAGCAGTGAGGACGCCTGACCAACAACGAGCCACAGGGTCTCCTGGTCCTCCAAGGCAGAGAGCTCCATCCCTCCTCCTCCTTTACTGCTGTTCCCACAGCCTACAACACTCTTCCCCCCGAGCCTTCCCCGGACTGACTTCTACTCCTGCTTCAAGTCTCAGTCTAAACGTCACCTCCCCAGAGAAGTCCTCCCTGACTTCCACATCTCAGGTGTTAGGTCACCTCCCTTATCCTCACTCAGCCACCTGCTCTCACCCTTCTTGGTACTCAGGACAATTAGAGCTAAAGAACTGTTTGGGTCATTGTTCTTAATAACCCTCCCCTACCCCCCCACTAGCCTGAGACGCCCCCACGGTGCCCCCGCAGTCTCTTGTCCACTGCCTGATCCCCAGCCCCAGCTCAGGCCCTAGCACAGGTCCACACTTAACTGCATGAAGGAAACCACAACTGAACGACTAAGTGGCCAAACGAATGAATGAACAAGTGACAAAATGAGTCCCAGGAGGCCTGCGAGCTCAGCCGATTTGGAGAGCGTGCGAGGCTTCCCGTGCCGTCGAACAGCAAGTCGGAAGACAGGGCGCCGGGTCGAGACCTCGGCCAGTTCCTCAGGAGTGGCTCAGGCCTCCTTCACCCCGAGACTCAGTTCCCTCCTCTACAAAATGGGGGCAACCGTTCCTTCCTGCCTCCTTTCCAGGGCTGCTGTGAGCACAAACAGGACCACGACGGTATAAGCGCCTTGTGACCTGCCAGGCACTCGACAACATTTGAGGACTTATGCTGGAAGGGCTGCGAGGTGGGGGGCATGGAGAGGACGGCCAGACACAGGGCCTCACTGATGGGGAGGGAAGGGAGGCGCTGACTAGTGATGCTGAGGCGCCGTGTCAGTCCTAAGTGACCCAGTCTTTAACAAACACGTAGCGAGCACCCACACGTGCCTCGTCCATGGCTGGGCGCTCCTCCCCTCCCTGCTCATTGGAGCCTCACAGCTTCCCCAAAGCTACGTAATGTGTCTCTATTTTAAAGGTGGGCTCATGCAGGTGAAATAATTTGCATGAGGTTGCACAGCTGTTAAGAGTCACCACTGGGATTAAACTCCACCTGTCAGACCTTAAACTGGTGTCTCTCTCCCCCGTGATAAAAGAGCAGAGAAGGGAGGCAGCGGCCTGTGAGCTGGGCTGGCGGCGGAGACTGGAATTCACCAGACGTTTCACCCGCTTCTTCCATTTCCATTTTCCAGGCGACCGTGTGACTAGTTCTAGCCAATGAAAGAGGAATGGAAGTGACAAGGGTCACTCTGGGCTGGCCCATGCACAATTCTCTGGTCTTTTTTCCTTGTGTCTATGGCTATTGCTGCCTCACATTCCAAAGGGTATGAGATGGTGGGGCCTCCGTCAGTCTGGGCCTCTAAGTAAGCATGGAGCAGAAACAAGCCCCTGCCACACAGAATAAGAGGGAAGACTTTTATGTTATCGAGGGAGATTTCAGAGTTGTTTGTTTCCACAGCAAAACCTAGCCCTTTCTGACTAACATAAGAGAGACGGGAAGGCTGAATGGAGGAGACAGCCCAGAACGGGAGGGTGGTCGGGCACGAGGGATCCGAGGCTGAGAGAACAGAACACTATTCTGACTGGTTCCAACACCCAGCAGAGGCCCTGTGCCGTACCTGGATTTGAAAATGTTTGTTGAGTGAACCAAGAAACAAATCAATGAATGCATAAAGAAGAACCGGATTAATCTGCCTCCACCCACAGGCTGGGAAATACCCAGGATGCCATGGCCCTGGGCGAGGCCTCCCAGAGGACAGAACACCCTGCTCCTGGTCACTGTGGGAAGGCCAGGACAAGGTCTCACGTGCTGCTCACCCTTCCAGTCTAGAGCACTGTTTCCTCGGAGTCCCTGGGTAAACGCCCTGGGCACAAAGCAGCCAAAGTAGAGAGGGCATCATCTTAAGGCCTTCAAAGGGGTTGACATAGCTCACCTGTGTGGTCACCTGCTCATTCATTTGTTCATTCACCAAATGCACATTAAGCACCTACTAAGTGCCAGGCACTGGGCTATGACAGATGTACATGCCCCTCTTGTGAGGCTCACATTCTAGCAGAGAGCGCAAGGAAAGTACACACAACGTAAAGAAACCACCTAAGAAAACACGCTCATTCCAAACTCTGACAATGGCTAAGAAGGAAACAAACAGGGGCCTGATGTAAAAACAACAGAGGTCGGCAGGACCCCTTTTACGAGGCCTGGTATCGATGCCCTTTTCAAAGCCAGAAAGCTGACGCTCGACGTGACCCCGGGCAAGCGATGCACCGGTTCACCCCACAGGGGCTCGGCTCTGACACCTCAAGCCCCGCTGAAGGACGCGCATCCCTCCAGGCCTCCCCTGTGGCCCCAATCACTCCTCCAGCCCGGCCACTCGAGGTGGGATCGGGGTCCTGAGCTCTCCCTGGAGTCCTCTGCTCCCCATCTCTCTCCTCGCACCTTGTCTCCAGCCAGGGCGTCCCTCCTGCTCTTGTCGACCCAGGCCCTTCCCAAGGTCACACATGGTGGATCCCCCTTCCACGGGGCACGAGAATGTCTGCCGATGTGGGGGAGCCCACAGACCAGTGACTGGCAGAGGATGGTCTGGGACAGAGGAGGAGACTTCGTTATAGCTCCGTCACTAAGGTGACAGGTGCTCAGGTCCTGAGCAGGTCCTCTCCGAGCCTCAGTTTCACCATCTGCGAATCCTTCTCTACCCCCAAACCCTCAAGGCTAACATCCCCTTACCAGTATGAACGACTGATGATAAAATCCTCACAGTGACCACGTGTCAAGCACTTACTGTGTTCTAGACTGCACTAGGTGTTCCACTTAATACTCACAGCAAGCCCCTGAGGGAGGCATTCCCAGCCGACAGGGATAGTGAGGGACAGGGAGGATAAGTGACTTGTCCAAGGTCACACGGCAATAAAGAGTCACCACTGCAAACCCTACCAAGAGCAGCAGAGCCCTGTCTGATCTAGAGCCAGAAGGGGAGAGGACGGCGCAAAAAGACCGGGCAGGGATCCGCCCTGCTGACACAGGGTGGCTTGGAGTTGGAATCGCCTCGACGGCACTAACAACAAACTAGAACCCAGGACCGTACGCCTCCAAGGCCTAGTCTGGCCCAGGAAGGAAACGTGACCTCATTTCCATGGCACAGGGAGGGTTATGAAAGGCAGCCCCCTCCATAGTGGAGGCAGAGAGGGATGGTAGTTAAGAGCATGGACTTTGGAATGTGACAGATTGAGGTTCAAATCCTAACTGCACCATCTACTAGATGGGTGACCTTAGACAAAAAAAAATATCACCTCTTGAGGGCTGTGTCCCCATCTGTGAAGTGGGGATAATGATGGTCCTACCCCAGGGGGCTGGTCCTTGCCCCCTCCCTTCTCCTGCCTGTACATCAAAAACAAAGGCAGGGCTGCCGCCGACCTGCCCACCCGCCATTTCCCAATTTCCTTCCTCTTCCTCGTCCCTTCCCACAACTTCTTTACCCTGCCCACTACCCTGAGCAAGAAGCCCAAAGTTGGCCCCCAGCATCACCCTCAGAAGCCCCCTGGTACCCAAGCGTTCCCGGGACGACCTGGAGGAAGCCGAGGGGAGGCACTCCTGCTGAGTCCAGGCACCCTGCCTGACGGCCTCACCTGCAGGATGGAGGTGCGCTGCTCATTCTTGTGCACCTTGGAGGCCAGCCGGTTGAACTCGAGGGCCATGCGGCCCAGGTGGGTGAAGAGCTGGCTGTGGTCCGGCTCCTCAGCGCACACGCTCAGGGTGGTTTCCAGGCGCTGCAAGTGCAGCATCAGGTTGGTGTCCTCGTGGGGCAGGGGGCCCAGCTCCTGGAGCGGGGAAGGGGACATAGATCACTCTTCACCAGGGTCTGAGTAGACGTGGCCAGCCATTCTCCCTCTGCTTCCCCATTCCTCGTGACTCAGTTTCCCCCTGTGATCCCAGCTCAGCCCAGGGAAATTCTCCAGTTACGCAGGTTCCCTGTCTGTGGCTGACTCACAGGGCAGGACCCGGGCCTCCCAGGCCACAGGCTGGCTTACCAGCAGCGGAGCCACCTTCCTCCCACATGCTGGGCCTCACTGAGTGCCTGTGGGTAAATCACTTGTCCACTGGGCCTCAGAATGCTCATCTATGAAATGTCCACACACCCTTCCCGCCCTCCACCTCACAGGGCGCTTATGAGGGCACTGACACTTGGAAGCAGCACGCGCAGGAGAGGGGTACCAGTCTATATACAGCACTGCCTCTTTGGCTGAGGGAGTCCTGACCAGGGAGCCACACAGAGACCAAAACAGTCCAACTTTTATGTCTGTACACATGTCTTCCAGGGAATGGTCCAAGCACTCACCAGCTTCTCAGAGGACCCAAGACTCAAACAGGCTAAGAATCATAGCTCTAAAGAGTTCAAAGAATCGCAATCTAGTAGAGTACATGAGAAACGAAGCATCCCGTGCGTAGGACAGCCCACTCTTGACCATCACTCAATCTCTCCTTCTTTCTCCACCTCCCCTCTGTCTAGAATACTCTTATCAAAGACAGTGCCTTGGTTATGCCACCACCGTGCCCAAGGCCCACAGGGGCACCTGACAACTAACTGCCAAGCCCAGGCCCCCTGCCAGGCGTCCAAGTCTCATCTTCCTGGCCAGAGCCCCACGCACCAGGCCCTGCGGCTTCTCATTCTTCCCTCCCGCAGTGAGCCCTCTGCTCACCTTTCCCCGCCCTGCCCACGCCGCAGCTCCTCTAGCAGGCTTCCCCTAACATCCATGGGAGTCACAGGACATCAGAGCTATGAGGGGCCTCAGGGTGCAGGCTGGGAAACCAAGCTCTGGAGAGACGGACCCTGCCCCAAGTCACCCAGTGAGTCAGTGGCAGAGTCAGGACTGGAACTTAGGCCTCCTGACTTTTGATCTGGTGCTCTGTCGCACTGACCTCTGAACTCTGCCACAGTAGAAATGCCCCAAAGCCACACCGTGGCACTCAGTGAATGCCCCTGTAACATTGTGAGCACCTTATTCTAATAGGAGTTAACGCTGCTGCCTCAATCCTGCACTCGGCCCCTCAATGCCTCTTTCCACAAAGGATCAGAGGTGGCGATGCTGCTCTGTGTACGGCTCATGAATTGCTTTATTCCTCTGATTTCTCCAACGAGGGCGACAAGCTCCCAGAGGGCAGGGAGGCTGTCTTGTCTTTGCTCAGCACAGCCCAGGCACATGGTGGGGATAGGATGAACTTATTAACAAGATGAAGTTACTGGTCTAAGATCAAAGAGTGAAAGATTTTCTGAGCAGGGTCATCTTGCCTCCTCAGCCAGCTTCTCAGCGCCCTTAGGGACCAGACAAAGGGACAGAACTTCCCAGGATACAAAACACAGAACCTTTCTAATACTCAGAGCTGCCTGGTGTGGTGATGAGCCCCTGAGTCACTGAAGGCATGCTAGTGTAAGCTGGATGACCAGACCACTTGATGGGGAACTTGCACTGGGGACCGACAGACACAAGATGCAATCAGTGAACCAAATTAGCAACATTTGTCCCTCAAATCCTTGGTGGAACAAGGCAGCGGGGACCAAGGCGTCAGTGAAGTAAGGTCAGCCCACTTACTGCCTACATAACAAACAAAAAGTCTCAAAGTGGGGAGGGAGAGAGAAGGAGGAGAGAATAAGACTTGAAGACTTTTGAAGAATGTTCCAGACCTTTTGCCCTTGCAATGGTTCTCCAATAAGCCTGCCACTGTAAGATAAAGCAGGACATCACTGGAATAAAGGCAGCAAGTAGGGTAAGGGACAGAATGAGGATGCTGGGTGGACAGCCCCGAGCTGGAGGAGTGAGAGAATGAGTGTGTGTGTGTGCACGTGTACCTGTGTGTGTGAAACGTTTAACGTCCTACCTGGACGCCCTGAAGGGGAGGCTGGGAGGAACAGCACGCCTGCACAGAAGGGTAGGTCACCTGCCTTGAGCCGCTCTGGGCCTCTCGGACCCTCTCCACTCTACCTGGGCTCGGGGCCCACAGGCCCGAAGGCTGAGTCACAGTGTGTGAGGTGCCCTGCATTGGTGGAGACAAGGGGGCTGGCACTGTGCCCAGGCTTTCACAATGGTCGGGTGCCTGTGCGGCCCAAGTCGGGGAAGTCACCAGCCAGGGATTTGCATATGTGAGCGAGAAGCATCCCCTGCTCTGGCCCCTCGTGTATCCCCAAGTGACTCCAGGGTGCCCAAGGGACCTGTGCGGGTCCAGTGGCCCTCACCCAGGGCTGGGTGAGTGAAACAGAGAGGAGACATGGGACATGCCCGGGGACCTGCCATCCACTCACCATCGTGTTCCTGGTGCGGCTGCCACTCTCTGGTGGTGAATTCTGGTCATCGGTGGGGACCACTTCAAATTCAGAGGAGGAGCCCTGTGCAGAAAGGGGGGAAGAGGCTGCCTGAGATGAAAACTCCTGGCCCCTCCCCTGGGGCCCCGCAGCTGAGAGCAGCGAGGGGGCAGAGAATGGAAGGACCAAAGCCCTCTCACATCCGAATCACTCGGGCAGCCCCTGCGTGCAGAGGCTGGGCTCACGGGGCAGTTACACTTCATTTCATGTGAGACCACAAAGCAGGAGTCCCAGGCTGCCTGCGGCCCACTGTGTAATATGATGTCATGTCCTTTTTGCGGCCAGTTTCCCCATCTGTAAAACGGAGATGTTGACCAGCTGACCTTGAACTGCTAGCACTTCAGGATTGTATTTTTCTTAAAGGCCTTGCACTTTTTTTTTTTTTTTAAAGATTTTATTTTTTTCCTTTTTCTCCCCAAACCCCCCGGTACATAGTTGTATATTCTTCGTTGTGGGTTCTTCTAGTTGTGGTATGTGGGACGCTGCCTCAGTGTGGTTTGATGAGCAGTGCCATGTCCGCGCCCAGGATTCGAACCAACGAAACACTGGGCCGGCTGCAGTGGAGTGCGCGAACTTAACCACTCGGCCACGGGGCCAGCCCCAAGGCCTTGCACTTTTAAAAGATTTTCGTGAACTCCATTATTTCTCAAAGCAACCCACGGAGCAGTCAGAGGGTTACATCCCCTGTAGACAGATGAGGAAACTGAGGGAACATCGTTAGTTAAGGCAAAAGTAGGGACTGTACCCAAGCAGTGCAAACCCAACACCCCTGCTACAACACCAGAGCTGTCTCCCAGGCCAGGGCTCACCGGCTGGTCGCCTGGAGAACACACAGTTGGTATGGCTACTGCCAAGTGGTCCTGTGCCAGCCTTGCCGACCCTGTCCCGGAGGTCCCAGAGGAGCAGACTGATCTGGGATAAGTCCCAAAGATGTGCCAACAAATCTGGAGAGACTTCTTCAGGATTCACCCAAATCCAGGGTGGCCAAGGACACCCAGACGTTCTCACATCTCTCAGCCATTGCAAGCAAAGGTACTGGTTTTCAACCAATGGATAGGCCAATGGGCCCTCTGAACCAGCAAGTGGCTCTGGGATTGCTATTAAACCTGGTCTACAAAGACTATGCCAGCCTTCCTTCGTCCACGAAAGGGCAGACGGATGGGAGAATCTCTGTGCTCAGTTTCTGCTGAGCCTCATGGCCGCCAAGAACCCAGCTCTGGATCTTGACCCTGCCTTAGAAACTCCCGTTGACCTCTACCTTCCCTCAGTGTTTGTGTGACCTTGGGAAATGCTCTTCTCTCTCTGGACCTGATCTGTAGGATGAAGATGCTAAACAATATGATCACTTGGGTCCCTTCCAGTCTTAGGAGACCAAGCAAAACTTCTCAAGGCAAATCTCTAGAAGACAGTTCCCAAGCCCCCTTTGAGATGTGAGTTCCACGTCACAGCCATCTGTTTTCCGAGCACTGTGCTCAGTCAACATTACACATCAGTTAACATTGCACAACTTAGTAAACGGGAGAATTCCCTGTGCACACAAGGGTCTTCCTGGTAAGTTTTAACTATGACCTTCCTTTGAAAACGGGGAAACCAAGGCCCCAAAGAGATTGAGATCAACTTGCCCAACATCACCCAGCAAGTTAGAACTCAGGCTTCTTGACCCCACCCCTCTCTCTTCACGTTCCTGGATCTGCCAACAGGACCTTAAAGTCCAGGCAACCTTCAGCTGCGACTGCAAATGCAACTTACGCTGGATGGAGGTTTCTGGACTGGCTCTGGCTTCTCGTTGGGGTGTGCGGGGTCAGCGGGGGGTGCTGGGACGTCTGCATCCTTTTCTAGAGAATTGAGAAAAACATGGGTGAGCAGCAGGGAAAAGGGACCATCCCCTGGAGGACAGCCCTGGCCAGAAGGGTTCTCCCACAGAGTTCCCGACTTGAGTCTGGGCAAATGGGAGGAGGTCCCACGGGGCCAGAGAGCCTGGGAAAACAACTGGCCGTGGAAGGATGGGGACAGAACCTGGGCAGAAAGACTACCTTCCCTGGACTTGCCGGGAAAATCCCAAGGTGGCCGCTGCTCCTTGCTACCCTGGACCTGCCTCAGTGATGACAGGGACGACAATTTACAATTAACGAAGTGTTTTTATACTATTTTTTATCTCAGTGGATGCTCATGACAGCTCTGTATCCCCATTTTAAAGATAAGGAAACTGAGGTGTGGAAAGGTCACCACCTGGCTCACAGTCACAGAGTCAGGAACTGCAAAACCAGGACTCAGACTTGGCTCTCCCTCCCCCACCTCCTTGGGCTCTAGCCTGGCACCAATCTGGGACTCAGAAGACACTGCTGAAGGGACAAGTGGTGGCTGACTATGCCCCCTGACTGCAGCACAGATGACTCAGACATCATCACTTTCCTCCATTTGTCCATTCAGCACATGGAACCACCAGCCAAATGGAAGGCTGGCGCACTGGCCTGGGCCAGGACCGCAGGCGGGGCTGCAGCAGGAGGCAACCTTAGCCCCAGGGGTGGGGACCGCTTCCCTCCACTCCGGACCTTGCCCTGGACTTGGAGATGCGCCACAGGAATGCATGGTGACCACACACAGGACTTTAACCCTTAGTCACAGTCAATGTTCTCCTGTAATACGCAGCATATATGCAACCTCACATCTGAAATACATAGCAGCAGGCAAGTCCAGCTTCTTCCATGGGTCTCAGCTTCCCCAAATGTAATATGGAAGGAGGGGGCCAGACCAGAGAGCTTCTGATTCCTTTGCCAGCTCTGCGTAAACCAAAGTAGCTGCCTGGAGCCCTGGGCCTGGCACATAGTAGCTGCTCATCAAATATCTGCTGAATAAATATGCTGACAAAGATCCCGGAGCCACCTCTCAGGTGCAGTGGACAGCTGTGATCTACCACCAGTGTCTGCCAGGGCCTCAGGGGTGCTGAGTTACCAGCCATTTTTGGACAAGATTATTTTGAAGTCCCTTCCAAACCTGACCTTCTCGGGATTCTGTAGCCAAAACATGATTGGGAGGATGGTCTGTGGCCTAAGGATAAACGAGGGAGATGTGGATTTCTGAGCAGGAAGGGAGAAGGTCCCCTGTTAAGGGTGTGGAGAGCCAGGAGTGCGGGGAAAAGTAGAAGACAAGCCGGGCCCCACGTACCTGTGAGCTCAGCCAGGTGGTCGAAGGAGGCCAAAGACGGAGACAGAGGTGGGAGCAGCTCACCGTCCTTGACCAGCTCCTCTGCCTTCTGCCGCAGCCTGGATGCTTCCATCTGAGACTCTTCCAGAAGCTCCCCTGGGGACACAGAGGGGAAAGGAGGAGCGAGAGGAATCGCTCAGCTCAGTGCACTGCTGCTCCCAGCCCCGCGCCCTAAGCCTGCTTCTGCCTGGCTCTCTGGGCCCTGGGCTTCGGTGCCACCATCGCCTTGTGGGCTGAGTGGGACACACAACATTCTAGCTCCCTGCCAGAAACAGGCCAGATAAGGAAGTGGGCCCTGCAGTCAGGGAAAAAGGAGTGTAGGGGAATCTAGAACAAACTCCTGGCCCCCAGCACCCTTTTCTGGCCCCACTCCCACCACACCTGGCTGAGGACTCCATAGAAAGCCAGGGGCTCTGTTAGGCCTACGATCATGGCATCCTGGGGTACCCACAGCCTACACCCCACAGTCAGGGCTTGCCTCCAGGGAGGAGACCCTCCATAATACCGCCCCTCGGGGCCTCAGTTTTCCTTTTCCGACAGGTGGGGAAGGGGAAACTCCAGCCTCCCTCCCCGGTCTGCCATCCAAGCAGAGATCTGCCAGGCAAGGAGAAAGTATTTGGAAAATCGGGGAGTTGTGCTCGTCCCCAAAGCCTGAGACCAGAGAAGGTGGAGCAAGACAAAGGAGTAGTTGTAGGAGCTTGGAGGAAAGAGAGCTCTCTGGATGGGGACATCAACAATGCCTCGCACGGAGGAGACGGCATCTGAGCTGGGTGCTGACGGAGGGGCGACTCAGTCACATGGAGGCGAGTGGGCTTGCTCTAGGCCATGTGACAGCTGGAGCAAAAGCCCGGGAAGGAGAACCAAGGGACCGCCCCCCCCCCCCCCCCCCCCCCCCCCCCCCCCCCCCCCCCCCCC